TGTGGAATCTAAAATTGAAAAAACTCAAATTCATTGTGGGCATGTGCATGGGGTGGTTCTGTATGTGTTTGTTTGTGTGGGAGCTTAGGATGCTAGAAATACCTATGTGTTTATGAGAATGGAGGCCTGATGTAAACTTAGCTTTGTTTTTGAGGCAGGATCTCTCACTGAAATTGGAGCCCACATAATTCTTCAAGGGAGCTGAGGATTAGTAATCCTCAGGAATCTTTCTGAGTCTGTCTCCCCATAATCTGATTGCGGATGCGTGATACTCAAGCAATGTTTTATGTGAACTCTGTTTATGCTGAGGATGAGAATTCAGGTCTTCAGGCTTGCACAGGAAACAGTTTACTGACTGAACCCTTTCTTTAGTCACTAATATTTTATAATCGACCAAAAGTAAACCTACCCTTTGTCTCAAGAGAGAAATTATCTTTATTGCTCTAAGCAGTAAAGAAACTTAATGCATCTATAAAGAAGCCCTATATCTATCTTCCGTGCCCTCCTTTGGAAAATATTTTGTCCACATTTTGCTCACAGGAAGATAGAAATACAAAAGGCAAATGGAGATTCAATAGCCATGTTTTGTGAAACTGATTTTCATTCATTCATCAATGCTTAAAGATGATCTTTAGGGGGCTGAAAAAGATCATAAACTAAACATTAATGTGGTCTTAATCCTAACCAACTTGTTGTCTCAGAAAAATATTTAAATGTATTGGTTTGGAAAGTCCTTCTCTATTCGTGTTGCTATTATTGGTTAATAAAGACATTGTTTTTGGCCAATGGCTTAACAGAATTTAGTCAGGCTGGAAGATACACACACACACACACACACACACACACACACACACACACATATATATATATATATATATATATATATATATATATATATCGAGAGAGAGAGAGAGAGAGAGAGAGAGAGAGAGAGAGAGAGAGAGAGAGAGAGTGAGAAGGCAGAGTCAGGGAGAATCTTTAGAGCCACCAGAGTGTAAAGATGCAAGCTGCAAGCTGAAACCTTGCCAGTAGACCACAAGCCTTGTGGTAAAATATAAAATAATAGAAATGGTTAATTTAAGATGTTATACTTAGTCAATAAGAAGCTAGAGCTAATAGACCAAGCAGTGATTTAATTAATACAGTTTCTGTGTGGTTATTTTGGTCTAAGCAACCAGGAATGAACAAGCATCCTCTCCAAACAGATTGGTGCACCAACGTGTGCTAACTAAATCCGCATAAAACCTGAGAGGGCTTGGAAAGGAATTCTAGACAATAACACAAAATTTAGCTGTTTTTTTATTTTTCAGATGGGCGCTGTTTCCTGGCTGCAGCTCCCTTAAGAGAGGGATTCCTGATTCAGTGGTGGTAGCAAAAAAACAAAACAAAACAAACAAAAACACCCCCCCACCCAGTTTCAAAACACTGGCTTCCTAGTTCACGCTGCCAGCATGAACTCTGGCTCTTTCTGGAGGCCAAGTACTTAAATGGGGTCCGTGAGCAGCATATTACCAACTTTTTAATGCCCCTGTGAACCTGCATCTGGGGCAGAGAGAATGGCTCTCAGAGGCAGTGAACATACGTCTATCATGTTGGACTGGGCAGAGCAAGCAGGCAGGTTTGTGGAGTTGGTCTTAAACTGCCCACTTAGCATTTAAAAAAAGAGCTTCTGGTCAGAAAATAATTACAGATATGCAATAAAGACAAATTCAGACAGATATAAACCTCTAAATTATTTCACAGTGTTCTATAAATGAACATAGGCTTGGAAGAGAGAAGAAAAAGAATATAGACAGTTATAAAAGAAAATAAATGGTTTTAAAATTAAAATAAAGTCTTTAAAGAGACAGAGTACAGACAGTTATAGATTAAAGGGGTAAAGAAAACAATAAGCCATGTAATGATGAAAATGCACGGAGAGTATGGATTATGTATATTACTGTGCTTTATTTGAATGTTTTAACTTGAAGGAACTAAGTATAGAGAGACATTTCATTGTATGGGCTGCTATGCTTAACCAACCAACAAATATGTTTTAAAGGTATCTTGACTTTGGAATTTGGGTATAAGGATATGTTGCTTTGGAAAAGAAGTTCTTCATTTATTTCCACAGAGAATGAAAACCTGTGGATTCCTTCTGGACTAATGTGGTTTGATGAATCAAGACCCCCTTCCCTCAACAGGTCACCGGAAACATCCCCCAAATTACTTTACCCAACAAAAAGCAGTAAGTAGTTTGGAGATAACTACACCCAAATTCCCTAAATGATTGTTTATAAATGTTTATTTACATTGAAAGGAGGATATGCTATAGATATGAATGCTTTGCATTGGTGTGTATCTTGCTCTATTGATACAAATTTAAGGTCAGTTTTGTTATATGTATATTTCTGCTCTTAATTAAGGTATTGTTTTGTGCAGCTCATTTAAAAATGTAATATATAACTAAGAAATATAGGTTAATAGATAGTCATTTATAATACTCAAGTTGTAGTCATGTTAGTTAGGTTTTCTAGATGTACAGATATATTTCAGTTAGATCATCTTCAAACCTTTTAAAGACCTATGGAATATGGGATTTAAAACATTTTAAGAACTTACAACTTTTCATGACAATGAGACACATCTGGCAGCACCAATTTACTGAAGAGGATGATGGGCATAGATGAGGTTCCTTATGGAGTTGGTTAGCCATTTGGGCAAGAAACTACTCTTGCCTGGACTACTTGATGTTATGTCGTATGAACTGGACATACAGGACACACAGAAAAAATGATGCTGAAGTTGCCTAAAGAAGGTAAGACAGTTCTTTGGGGTTCCTGCTTCATGAAAGAGTCTGCCAGACATTCTGCAGGACACAGAAGAAAGCAATTGATGGATTTTGTCATTACAAGGCAGAATAGATCTTCAAATTTCCTACTTCATGGGAAAGTCTGTCAGATACTATGCACTTGTAGCTTGAAGATGGATGCTCCAATGATACAGAAGAACTCTGGGTGACTGTTCAGACAATGAGATGTTTCTGTCATTTTTAGAGTTTTGGAAGTTGCTTAAAATGCAATTCCTATTAACTTAGGTAATATTATATCTTTCTAGTGTCTTTTATGGAGTTAAAGGACAGATAGTTATAGTTTTCCTTAGTTATAATAAAAGATAAAGTAGATATAAATATTATAACTGTAATTCTTCCTTGATAGCTGTTTTGTTATATGTAATTTTACTATGTTAAAGTTAAAACCTTTCTTTTTATTTTAACAGGAAAGGGGAAATGGTGTGGGAAGTCCTCCTGTATATATGTTGCTTTTATTGGTTAATAAATAACAAGCTGTTTTCTGTCAATAGCTTAACAGAATATAGCAAGGCTGGAAAAGATATATAGAGAGAGTAGGCAGAGTCAGGGGAAAGCCATGATGCCACCACTGGAAATAGACGGAAGCCAACAGCTGGAACCTTGTCATTAGGCCACGAGCCTTGTGGCAAATTATAAGGTAATAGAAATGGATTAATTTAAGATGTAAGAGTTAGCCAATAAGAAGCTAGAGCTAATAAGACAAGCAGTGATTTAATTAATACAGTTTCTGTGTGATTATTTGGGGTCTACACAGCCAGGACATATGTATGTATCTATCATCACTATCTGTCTATTCTATTATATTGCATTCTATTCTACTCTATATTCATGGTAGGAAGAGTTCAATGTTCTGTGGGATATTGGATAGAATATACACAGGTAAATTTAGGCCCATCAAGTCATTTTTCAATGTTAACAGGTAGGAGCCCTCTGAGGGAGAGGGAGGCTGTGAAAGTGTCAAGTGACTGACATCAAAAGATATGGAAGCTCACATGTGAATTTGAGATGTTTTGGTAATATACATATGGTTAGACTTTAGGAAAGGTTGGTGATATGTTGGAAATATAACTATATGCAATTTGGGAATTATTCTTTCAATAGTCTTAAGAATTGATTAAGGGAGGGTGAGAGTGTAGATCAGAGTTTTGAGGAAGAGAATATTAGAACGCTAGTTTATTAATAAAGATCTGAACTTAGGGAGTTTCAAGGGGAGTGGTGGGAAAGTAGGTTAAAGGGCTATTCAGGGAATAAAATCAATAGGACTTGGTGAGTAATTCAATGACAGGAGTTAGGAACTCCAGGGTGACTTTATTGTTTGCAACAGGGAAGCTGCTGGAGAAAACAATATTGCTAGTAGAGTGGGATTGTGTGCATGTGCGCACGGGGTGATAAAAGGATTATGAGTTAATTTTGGACATATTGACTTGGTGCTGGATGGAATTTAAATAAGGTCACTGCAGAGTGGCAGTAACATAGGACAACAATGAAGTCCTAGGTAACTTCGACTCTTACAGGAGACTTGTGAGACTAAAGGTCCTGTGTTACATAATTTCTAGATGTTGATGAGTTCTGTATGTGACTATTACTTCTTCTAGAAACAAATCAAATTGTAAAACTTTGGAGAAACAGAGAAAAATATTTTATATTATTTTTTCTGACAATATATGCAGACAGCATTTTAAAAATGTGACGTCTCCAGCCTGGATGAACAGTAAAGCTTCAAAAAAAGAGAATGTTAGAGTAATTGTTCTGAAGAAACTAAGGTTTTACGTTTATGTGATGTTTTTGTTTAACAAAATACAGTTGTCTTAAACAAAGCCTGTAAAATAGAGCTATTTTCTAAAAGGAAACACTGAAAGCATTCATTTGTACCATAGGAAAATGTAGTTTCTTTTGAAAATATCATTATTTGACCTTCAAAGAATTGTACTTTGATTCCGATTGCCATTCTATTTATTTTATAGGCATTCATTTAGAGGGGTTTTATTATTCTGGTGAAGTTGATTTAGTGTGTAGGAACATGAGTCGTGTAATGGAATCATTCATTAGGAAAGGTTAGTGCTCTGTAAGATTTTATCATGCTCTGCTATGCATTCTTATGTGTTTTTTAATCATGTTCCTTTAAACAACTTAAATAAATAACAGTTACCTTGTTAGGCATAGTGAGCATGGTCTCTGAAACATCCTCTCATTCTTTATTTCTTGGTCAATAAAATTATGTCTTATGTCATTATCAAACAAAGGAATTTACAAACTTCTCTCCACCCTTTTGCTTCAGAGTTTTCTGAGAAAATGATGAGCAGAGCTTGAGATAATCAGTGCTAGTATCAAAGGCAAACGATTCTGTCATTTCTGATTGGCTATCAAAGGCCACAAGACCAAATACGTGTATTACCTTTAACCCATAAATTGTACCCTGAGGGACAACATTATAAGATTCTAAAATAAACTATGAGAACTGAAAATACATCTCCGTGAATTTTCCCTTATGGCAAAACTGTCCAATAATAAGAAAAGATATAAATCTATTTTAAAATGACCAAAAGAAATGAGGAAACATCTCTCTAAGTTATACAAAAATGATGGGCAGATATTTAATACATGATCAGCATATCTAACAGTCAGAGAAATGAAAAATAGAAACAAGGTTAGTTTCCAATCATTTCTGTTAGCTTTGTTGTTGTAAAGATGGCAGAAGTCAAGTGTTTTCAGGAATGCAAGCAGAAGAGAAGAGATACACACTGTTGGGCACATTGCAACTTGTTACTGCCATCTTGAATAACAATGTTGAGGACCCACAGACCAAGTAAAACTAAAATTGCCACGTGCTACTGTGGCACTCCTATTCCGAATATAACCAAACACACTGAACGCCCCATTCCCACTATAGTATTAGTTATGCTGGAAACAACCCACTAAAACCTTTTGACTACAGCAAACGAGCCATGTGGTGGTTGTACTAACTTTCTGTTACAAACTCAAAATTCACAGTGTAAGTATTTGACCTCATATAATTTTTGTGAGACTCAAATTAGGGTATGTGATAGTTTCTTATATGGAAGTTATTTATTGCTCTTTTTGGACGTCTTTTGTTCAGACTCAAACAAAATTTTATTGGCGTTTAATATAAAAAACACCCCTGGGCAAGAAACCTGTGAATCTCAGAAGCTGCTCTAAGGAGAATAAAGAAGAAAAGACAAAATGAAGATAAATAAATAAATAAATAAATAAATAAATAAAAAGGCAAAACAACAACAAAGGTCATGCCCCTTGAGTTAAGCTAGAATGGAGGTTAGCCACTTGATGGCAGTCAGTCACATGACAGGAAGGGAGGTTTTTGAGAAGGAATAAGGAAGTTCAGCTGTTAGCGAAAGCATGCAACATATTTAGAAAGGAGATAAGCAAAAGAAATGGAAAAGTCAGGCTTTTCTGTATAGTTCAGAAAAGTAGGTGGAGTCATGAAGCCTCTTATAGGATACTGTTCTAGTGGGTGGAAATTCTGGGAAGGAAATACATTTTCTCATTAAAGTAGTAATTTTCCACCTATCCTATACCTAGCATGGCTCTTTAGGGTAAGTCATCCCTCTTAGGAGTGCCCTGCCTTTCAGAGGGTGGTTCCTTAGCCAGGGTCTGGCTCACATATTAACTCCTAAAAGAGACTATGGCACACTTACAGCTGGAGATTGATTATAATCTTTACTGTGCATTCATCCCTGAGAGAGGTAACCCTAAAAATACTTAGAAAATGAACTGAAATTTGGTAGCAGCTATTATCCATTTGAACAAGAAATTGGAATTCTTTTAAGATTATTATTTTTCTGGCTTATAGCTATTTAAATAGAATAGTCTTTTTTTCTTTAGTGCCATTAGAATGTGCATAATGGATGCAATGAGGAGATCTCAATCTTAGGTTTCCTCTACTCTGTGGCTCTACCTGCCCTCCCAAATTATGCTAAATCATCTATTACAGGAAGGAACAGAATGGTGGAATGTTTTATAAATATGGATAGATAGATAGATAGATAGATAGATAGATAGATAGATTGCTACATAAGTTTATTTTGAGGATATTTTCATCATAATGTGAATCAATTTCCAAGATTTTGTAACTTAATGAGGCAAAATTTTTTCTCAGAGGCAAATAAAATATATTCTTCTACAGAGGAGGATTTAAGAACTCTTGTTTTTCTCATGATGGAGGACTGTGTTAGGACATCCTGATGTGATCATTGCCTTTTTATTTTTATCTTAATTTGACGTTTAGTACATAATTAATGTTTAAGTGCTATTCTTTGTATGGGATTTTAATGTGCTCAGCAGGAACTACTATTAAAGGAGGGTATCTTAATACTACCTTGACCATACATAGATGGCTAAATTAGGACCTCAGAAGGGAAAATCCTACATATCATGTTCTCAAATGCACTTGTTAAGGTCTCTAAATAGAGTTTAGAGTTTACAAAATATTTGTCCTTCATTCAGAATACTTGCTAATTAGCTTCAGTTGATAGTCTACTGGGACACCAATGTGAAACAAAGGACAGAGAAAGATATTTTTTTAAAAAAAAATCTAATCATGTCTTGGTAAATGTCTAATCCACTAATTCCAGTGGGGAAATGAAAAATATTAAATTGGGTTAAAGTTGAAGTGTTACAATTTGCTACTCCTTTCTCATTTCAACTGGTTTTGCGACACTCACCTGCTACCAAAATGCATCTTGGTTTTCATGATGGATATTTTATCAATATTGTTGCTGTACATGATCACTTTCATAACACTCTGAATACGTTTATTTTTCAATGAGTCTTTTTTCTTGATAAAATAACACTAGTATGAGTATGAATGCTAAAATTACTGATGGTTAATCTTCTCCAAGAAAAGAAACAAAAACATTTAAGAGGCAGACTACAGAGACCATTTTCTTGGGGAATGTGTTAGATATGGTTGTGCCATGTAGGAATTTATTAAAATCAAAAGTATCTAAAATTTATCAAATATCATTCAGTTTCCTGACTTTGATCATCACCAGCCCTTCCTTCCCTGCATGATACTATCCACCAATCAAAAGATCAATGAGAACCTTGATGAGGCAATTTATATTCTGCTGAATGAATTGGATATGTCAAGATTCTGTACATCTTCCTTTTGTTGAATGATGGCTAGAGGAAAGATACTTAAAGAGAAAATGAACAGCACCTACTTCCCAGTTAGTAATAAAGATACTGCTGTGTCCTTTCTAATGTAAATCTGAACTAACGGGACATAATTTAAGATTATGAGAAAAAGGGTTATGCAATAATGAGTTTTTGTGGGCAATTTTATAGGTGTTCATCAATACTTGGAGTATATCCTATGTATGATTTTCCTGAAGTTCATCTTATTAATGTTAGGACATTATCTGTATATACCTTTGATGCTGGCTTCATTTGAGCTCATAATTAGACACATATGTAATATTTCTGGTGCATATTTTATAATGATAGGTTATTCCTTTACTTTAATTATTTCTTTTGAGAAGATCTATTTGTTTGGATTTCAAACCTTTACTAGAAGTGGACTGACTTATCCTGGGAAGATGATGCACCATGGAAGCAGTTCTGACTCTTGGGAGATATAATGACACATCTGATGGAGAGCTCAGTCTGGTCACAGAAAGCCCCTGAATGGTAACTCATGCTTTATGAGTGAAAGTGAATGTCTGTCTGTGTGCCAGTCAAGACTTCATCATGGTAATCAGTGTCACTCCTTGTGAGCCATTACTTTGTGTTTGGGGAACATGCTCACATTGGTGTAGACTACACCAAGTAGGTTAGGCTCAGTAGCCAGGGATCCTCCTGTCTCTACATCCTAGATACAGAGATCACTAGAATATCCATCACACCTAAGTCTTTGTTGCTGTGTGTGTCCTGAGGCTTGGCCTCAGTTGTTGTGCTTATGTGACAAGCACTGTACCACCTGACTTCTGCTGTAACCAATCTCTTGCATCTGGATGGACTTCCCTTTGTCTTATGAGGGACTGCATGGGGAAAATGGTTGTGATGATTCACAGTAATAAAATGTAGAATAACATAAGAGACAACTCCCTGCTTATTTCTTTAAGAGAGATTCTTGAGTAAATCAGTTGAGGTGGGAAGTACTACTGTAGAAGGCACTGTTCCAAATGTTGGAATTTGGGACCAAATGAAAAGGAAAGACTTGAACATCAGCATTCATCTCTCTCTGCTTCCTGACTGAAGACAAAAAGCAAGCAGGTGCCTCAAGCTCCTGCCACCAGGACAGCTTAATATAGAAGGACTATACCCTTAAACCCTTTCTTTATTTGGTCTTGTTATGTATTTTGTGATAGCAATAAGACAAGTAAGTATTTAATGCAGCAAGGAATAAACTTGTTCAAGAAGCAGGACTGGATGAGTCCCACCAAGAAAGTAAACTTTCAGAAAAAATTTTGAAGTTCCGATAAAGAAAGAAAGAGAGTCCCTTCATTAAAATATTGCCAACCTGAGAGCCTGGCATTAGTTTAGGATTGTGTTTAACAGATTCAAATCAAAGGAGTCCAATCTCCATGTCATTAACTGTGTTGTACAGACTAATGAAAGTAATTTGACAGCTGTGATGAAACATATGTCTACATCTATAGTTGTGTCACAATGTGTGCGTTACCATTTTCATATGTTCAAATGAATGTAGGTACATAATTGATTTTGTGGACTTTGTTCTGATTATGTAATCATTTGTCTACTTGTACATCTCACAGGTAAATGCTTCTTCTAATTTCAGTAAAGGTTTTTGATTTAATAAAACTCATTAATTTTACTCCTCATCTCTTAGTGTTCATTCTGGACAGAACTAATTTCACTTGGAAGTGTTATATGGGCAGGGATGATTCTATACAAATACGAATATTTTGCATAGGTAAGTCCCAAAAGTTCTGATTTCTGGTTGTTGTTGAAGTTTGCTCATTTATTCCAAGTTGTCCAGACCCAAAATAATCACGGAAACCATATTATTTGCAATACTGTTTGGTCAATAGCCTAAGTGTATTGCTAGCTCTTATATCTTAAATTAACCCATTTCTATTAATCCGTGTATTGTCACATGGTAGTGGCCTATCAGTAAAGTTCCATCTGATGTCTGGTGTCTGTGTCCTGCACTGGCAACATGGCTTCTCCCTGACTCTGCCTTCTTTCTTCCAGCATTCAGTTTAGTTTTCCTCACCTATCTTTGTTCTGCCCTGCCATAGGCTCAAGAAGCTTTTTTATTAACCATTGGTATTCACAACATACAGAGAGGAATTCCAAATCACCTCCCCTTTTCTGTCTACATAAAATGGAATGTTTAACTTTAGCATAGTAAAATTGCATATAACAAAATAGGTATCAAGCAAGAATTACAGTTACAATATTTATATCTAATTCATCTTTATCATAACTAAGGAAAATAATTATTATAGACCCCCCAGAGGGATATAGTATTACCTTAGTTAACAGGAAGTGCATTGTAAGCAACTTTCAAAACTCTAGAATTGACAGAGACATTTTGCAGCCTGAACAGTCACCCAAAGTTCTTCTATAAAATTGGGGCATGCAATCTTCAGCCTACAGGCACATAGTATCTGGCAGACTTTCCCATGAAGCAGGAAATTTGACAATCTCCTATGCCTTGTACTGGCAAAGTTCTTCAGTTGTTTTCTTCTGTGTCCTGGAAAACGTCTGGCAGTTCTCTCATGAAGCAGGAACCCTGAAAGACTGTCTCACCTTCTTTAGGCAACTTCATCAGTCATTTTATGTGGGTCCTGCAAGTCTAGTTCGTACAGCATAACATCAAGGAGTCCAGGCAGGCAAAAGTGGTTTCTTACCCAAATGGTTAACAAACTCCATAAAGAGCAACTTCAGTGTCCATCTTCCTCTGGAAGTAATTGCTCCCTGTGCTTGATTAGGTGGAAGTTATTTCGGTGTTGGACATTCTAAGATCTAAGTTGTCATAGAGACACTTCTCCCATTGGTTACTGATTGTTCCATATGATGTCTCAATATAACACTTAACCCCAAGGCCATATCTATCAGCTCAACTCATCATGCCTTGTACATAGCCAAAGAGTTTTCTTTGCCAGGAAGCTGGAATGCTTTATCCATTTCATATGTTATGAAATACGTTATCCATATCAGAGTTATGATGATTTATTTATCTATTTGTGTTTGTGATTGAGTGCATGAATCAGAAGACAATAGACATTTCTACTGAAGATAATTTGTTTTTGGTACTCTTGAGAATATAATTTACTTATGTTTGTCCCTTCGCTTTTCCACATCCAAACTCTCTTGTATATTCCTTCATCCTCTTCTTCACTTCTTCAAATTTATGCCCTCTTTTAAAACTAATTGTTATTGCATATATGTGTATGTGTGCATGTGTCTATATGTACTAAATATAACCTGTGCAGTCTGTATAGTGCTACCTGTATGCATGTTGGTGTGGTCTAACCTGGAGGAAGGTTGCCTCTCCTACTCCCAGCTCCTCAGTTGCCTCTGCGAAGTACTGAGGATTTCTGGTTTTTTTCTATCCAGTTTTTCATGTTCATCACTTTCATTCTTGTTCAACTCATGTTTTGGGGTCATATTGGTGAGACGTTGGCAGTGTAGCTTCTAATACTATCAGAAGTCACAGTCTCAGCAAAGTCCATGGTCGTCTGCCTCTCACAGTCTTTCCCTCCCCTCTTCTGCAGTTCCCAGGTGTCAGAGTGTTTTGTAGGGAGTGCACACCATAATTATGTACTTTGATTGGCTGTGGTTTTCTGTAATGTTCTCCATAGAGAAATTTCCTTGATGAGGGGTGCAGACAACACTTATTTATGGTTACAAGGACAAGTGTTTATAGATTGTTGTTATGAACTATGCTACTTTAGTAAATTAGTGGTTGTAGGTTCTCCTCCCAAAACTATGACTTCTCTAGCTCTCTACAGTTAGGTTTTCAGTACAGGTCATATAGTCCATGGTTGCGGGAGTCAACCCTTGAGAGTCATTTCTCTCCTACTACCACGTGGTTCCCAGGAATTGAACTCAGGTCATCTAGATCATTAGAAATTGTTTGTATCTATCAAGCCATTTGCTTGTCCCAAAATCTGCTTTAAAGTATTGATACTAATTTTTCTCTGTACCTTTAAAATTCTTGTACAATTGAAGGGTCATCCTGGTATCTACATAACTGTTTCTTTTGAAAATCAGTCAATTTTCAGTTTCACTCTGGGTCATGACTGTTCTGCAATAGGGTAGAGTTCAGATGCTTGCTAGCCCTGCTTGTGTAAAGAGCATGGTTAGATACGTTGAGGCACAGGCTGTAAGAGCCAGAGCGATGCTCAAGTTTTACCCTTAGCATTCACAGACTGAAAATCTCTGATCTTGTATGATGAGCTATTTACAGAGGTTTCACAGTCACAAAAAGCTCATTATTTTAACATAGCTCTATTTGAAGCGATGCTACTCCTTGGAACCAGTTTTAGGTAGAGGAACACCAAACTGAGAGGGTCAGTGGTTGCACAGAAAATGTGTGGTAGCCGAAGCATTCCACTGTCATGGTCTCACCCTCTATGATCTTCCCAGCCAAGTACTGTCCGGGCCTGACCCTGCTTAGCTACCAATATCAGAGGATACTGAGTGAGTTCATGGCGCTATATCCATAGACCGATGTGATTTAAGCCAAATTATAAGACAAAAATGACTTTCTACCTTTCATGTATTTGTGGCACTTCCCACAACTTATTCCTAGTCAATCTACATGAATATATTAACATCTACACGTATCCAGGCTACAGCAAATATCCTGTAGCCTGTGCCACAACCTTTTGGAGAAAAAAGTCATGTGTAAAAATTTATTTGGGGTTCATAGGTTCTACTTATGAAATTTGGTATGCCATAAATCTAATTTATTATTTGTTAAGGTGAATAAATTAAAATTTATTTACATTTATTTGTTTCATGTGTGTGTGTGTGTGTGTGTGTGTGTGTGTGTGTGTGTGTGTGTTTACGCATGTTTACAGAGCTCATGTGTGGAGATCAGAGGACAACATGCAGGAGTCATTTCTTACCTTCTACTACGTGAATCTAAGGGACCAAACTCGGGTCTTCAGGTTGGTAGCAAGTGTCTTTACTAACTGAACCACCTTGCCAGATGGAGAATAAATTTTAGATATTGATTGTTTGTAGACTGCCTTTCTGAGTCTATGTCTGAATCCTCACCGGCCGTCTAGATGGAAACATTAACTGCAATCATTTGTTTTACTTTTCTTCCTAGTCACACAGAGCTGCTGCTGCTGAGTCCATCTCAACCACGCAAGGACCACTTCCTTAGTGTTCTCAGTCTGAGCCTCAATGCCAGTGGCTAATAGGTGCATAGCCTTATAGTTCCAGGCCCTGAAAGCTAGAGGCTACAGTGGGAAGTTTTCAAAGCAACAGATTATAGCCCTAGGAGCTGAGGACAAGAGACTTATTACCTTTAACTATACATTACAGTGGCCTACCACCTAGCAGCTAATGTTGCTGTTTTCAAGCCTTGGGAGTGAGGAATCCCCTATATGTTCTTTACTACTGGGAACTCTCTCCACCCTTCTGTCTCTGGAATTTGTAGTACTGTTTTTTTCTTTACTCTTTCTTTCTTTCTTTCTTTCTTTCTTTCTTTCTTTCTTTCTTTCTTTCTTCTTTCTTTCTTTTTCTTTCTTTTTGTACGGGGTTGCCCCCATGGCTCTTCCTATCCCCTTTGCACCCATTATAGTCCCCATTTTCTTTCAGTTTTGTCATTGCTGATTTCTCAGTTTCTGTCATGGCTGGTCTCTGGAACTCTTCAAGCATATTCTTATATGGTGGGAAGACCAGGAATTTTGTCTGATTCTGATCATCTCAGCATGCTCTAATCATGATAAAGACTTAAGACTACCAGGCAAAATCTTTATTAAGGACTAATGCTGCAACACTGGAAGAAACCCCACAAACTTATTCAGAGGGGGAAATAACACATCATTTACACAGCCTGAGAGGGATATGTTGTGTTTGTCCTCAGCTTCTAACTGCCCCAGTCACACCTGTATGTCTTCACTTTTCATTATTTAGAAAGATCCACCATGTGCTGTTTTTGGAGACAGCTTGTTTGTTCCTGGCTGCTCAGCTCTGAAATAACCACATAAAAATGTATTAATTAAATCACTGCTGGGCCTATTAGCTCTAGCTTCTTATTGGATATCTCTTACATGTTAATTTAACCCATTACTATTAATCTGTGTATCACCACATGACCATGGCTTACCGTCAAGTTTCCATCCAGTGTCTGTCACTAGTGGGGCTACATGGCACCTCTCAACTCTGCCTTCGTTCTCCCAGCATTCAGTATAGTTTTCCCCACCTAGTTCTATTTCTGCTAAGCCACTGGACAAAACAGATTTATTCATTAACCAATAAAATCAACACATCGACAGAAGGACTTCCCACACCATTTACCCTTTTCTGTTTAAATAAAAAGGAAGATTTTAACTTTAACATGGTAAAATTACATATAACAAAGCAGGTATCAATAAAGAATTACAGTTACAACATTTATATCAACTTTATCTTTTATTATTACTAAAGAAAATTGTAACTATATATTCTTCAACTTCATCAGAGACTCCAGAAGGACATAATATTACCTAAGTAAAAAGGAAGTACATTGCAAGCAACTTCCAAAACTCTAGAATAGACAGAGACATCTTGATGCCTGGACAGTCACCCAAAGTTCTATATCTTTGGAGCATCCATCATCAGCCTAAAGGCCCATAATATCTGGCAGACTTTTCCATGAAGTAGGCAATTTCAAAGACAGTTTTGCCTAAATTGGCAGTTTGTCAGGCATTATCTTCTGTGTCCTGCAGAATGTCTTGCAGACTCTTTCATGAAGCAGAACCCTGAAGGATCATCTCACCTTTAGGCAAATTTAGCAGTCATTTCTCTGTGAGTCCTGTCTGTCCAGTTCACACAGCATAACAACAAGCAGTCCAGGCAGGAGCAGTTTTTTGCCCAAATGACTAGCAAGCTCCATAAGGAGCCTCTTTGATGCCCATCTTCCTCTTGAAGTAATTGATGCTGCCAGGAGCAGATGTGTCTCATGCTATGAAAAGTCCTAAATTATTAAAACATTTTAAATCCCATATTCTGAAGGTCTCTGAAAGATTTGAAGAATACTTATCCAACTGAAATATATATCTAGGAAACCTAACTAACATGACTACAAGCTTGAGTATTATAGATTACTATTAACCTATATTTCTTAATTATATATTACATTATTAAATGAGGTGCACAAACACAATACCTTAATCAAGAGCAGAAATATACATATAATAAAATTGACCCTAAATTTGTATCAGTAGAGCAAGATCAATACCAATGAAAATTTCTATAGCATATCCCCTTGAAATGTAAACAAACATTTATAAACAACCATTTAGGGAATTTGGACATAGTTCTCTCCAAACTGCTTCCTGCTTTTTGTTGGGGGAAGTAA